AAACGAGCCAATTTCTGAAAATTTCCCTGTACTATAGCCCATGGTTTTTTTCAAAAAATGGCTCCAAAATCACCCCAAATTTTTATTACATTTTCTGATACATATTGATGTCCTTATGCTGTGTAGAAAGTTTGAGTTGATTCTGAACTCAAATTTTCAAGTTACGGCCATTTTTTTAAATAAGCCAATTTCTGAAAATTTTTCCCTGTACTCCAAAAAATGGCTTGGAAATTACCCCCAAATTTTTATTACATTTTCTGATACATATTGACATACCTCTCTCCTTCTCTCTTTCTCCTTCAATAGCTGAGACTGCAGCATCAGAGAAGTTCAAACATGCTGACGTGTTACTCCAAACATTAAAAGGAACCAGTTTCAAAACTCATTCCTCATATTTATCCTGTTCACTCCCCAGCCCCTCCCCCTCCTGAACCAATGTATGATAACATTGAAGAGAAGAGAAGAGTCCATGCTGTTAATATACAAGCATTACCAGAGATACAACCTTGTCCAGCTTATGCAGTCACTACCACCAGGATTACACAGGCCACTTGCTGTCAATGTACAGGATCAACAATACATTGAGTTTGATTGACTGTTAGTGAGTGTGTGTTTGTATGTGTGTACTAATAGTTTGGTAACATATTGGTATTATTATTATTATTATTATTATTATTATTATTGTCTTGGTTGTTTTATTATTGTGTTATTTTTTAGTGATATAATCACTATTTCTTACCCAATTCAAGCTGCTCTCATATTTATTGATAATACATGTACTTATGGAGTACGTGTATTATGCTAATTCCAATCAAAATAGGATTTTTACAAATTTTAAAAAATTGCTCCAAAATAGTACAGGGTCGTTGGCCAAATTTCACCAAAAATGACTTAAAGAGAATTTGTCATTTTTATGATTTTTCCTGATGCATATACATGTGCTTATGTTGTATTTCAAGTTTGAGCTGATTCCAATCAAAATTGAATTTTTTTGCAAACTTTTTAATTTGTTCTAAAATCAAGCCAAAATCCTTGATGTACTATAGTACACGGTTTTTTGTCAAAAGTGGCTAGGAGAGAACTCTTAATTTTGTACACGCATGTAAGCTCAACATCAAAAGCTCCATTGCATTTTATGCATATCAATGCTTTTGATGTAGATTAAATTCTAAAAAAATAGAAAATGGCAAAAACAGAATTACAAAAAGGTAACACATGAATTATAAAATGAAATAATTTTACAGATCCAGTCCATACAAAATTATTAATTGCTGCTTGTTCAATTTGTGATTTAATATACATGTATATATATATAAATAATTTAAAATTTTAGAAATTTTATCGATCATGGAGCCACAAATTTCTATAGAATGATTTTATTATTTGATGCCTCTCCAGATATGTACAGAATTCATTTATTCTTCATCTTTATAATTTTCTTAGATATATACAAAAATATTTCGTGTAAAAATTTTCTAATTCCCATCAATTTTGGATTTTATGAATTTCTAAAAATTGCTCCAAAATTTAAAGAGAATTCTACGTCTGAATATACAAATTGAATTTTTAGAATTTTGCTTCAAAAATTGGTCAGTGATACATGAGAAGTTTGAGTTGAAACAATACAAAGTTATTTTAATACAAAAACATAAGGGGATAAACAATTAAAATTAGCAACAGAATAACACAGTAATGATATTGAGAATATTGAGATAAAGAAAGTGGTCATTTCTTGCATTGTTCGTTAAAGTCGATGTTGTGTTTATTTATTGCCAAAGTTCACTCTTCTTTCTCTTCTGAACAAACTGATACTTCAATATTTTTTTCTTTGTCTACTTTCAATTGCTGTAGATCTAGAGATGTATAACAAGGAGTTATCATTATACCAGAGTCTTCATCACAGTTTTTAAGCTGTGTTATAGCCAAATCATAATGATGGCAAATAGTCTCTTGTTAGTCTTCTGTGAAACTAGCATTATTTATTGTTACATGTATTTTAATCAAAGAATGGAAGATGAGGCTCATTACTACCATCAATGGGATTTTTGATAGAAAAGCAAGGACCTGATAAGCAATCATAATATGACAGTAAAATAAAATGCTATTAATCCTGTTATATGTAATTTTAGTCAATTTCTTGAACTATTATTGGCTAATACGCATCATACTAACCTTGTTGCTTAGTCGGCGATGTAACACAGAGAGTAGTAGTTCCATTCATTTGTGAAACTTGTTCAGCTTCAGAACAAGGATAATCACTTTGTACAGTGCCAGTAGCAGACTCAACAGCGGTATTTACATCATCATCGCAAGGACTATGACTATCTGACAAATAGGCAACCTAATATTAGTAAAATATGTTTATTATGATAGCAGATGGTAATATGTACTACCTTATCTCCACCAGCAGTTGAGGTGACATCTCCAGTAACAATGTTGTCAACACACGGGTATGTGGTAACTTTGCCTTTCTAATGCAAATATGACATGTGCATGTAAAGTTTAATATTAAAGTACCTTATCAATATCTCCAATAACTGTATCATACACAACAGGTTGATCAACAGCAGGTGGAACAACAGTAGTATCAGTCCTTTTAGCAATAGAAGCATAAGTAGGAGCAACAGTAGCAGGAGTAACAGTATATGCAGTGGCAATATTATCATCATCCTCATGACCAGGTCGTAGTAATGGAGCAGTAGAATTATAAGTGGATGATGAGCTATATGTTGGTTGTCCCTAATAATAAAATGAAACAAAATTAATTATAAATAGAGTAGGAATTGATAAAGTTCATAAAACTCATTGAAAAGAAAGAAAAATTAGTTTGTGTGGACAATAGAAATTATAACATCACTACTGACAAGGCACTGATGACAGTATTGTGATTAACATGCCGTATTTTACCGTATAAATGCCTGTCATTAATATATTCTAGCTATAAATACGCATATTTCTACCAAAAATAATGCCCCACTCCTTAGATAGCTTATTAACTTAGTTAGAGCCTGGTCCAGTTTGCTAAAGGTTGAAGCATTTTCAGGTTTTATCCTGCCCAAAGTTTCGTTTAAAATTTTTTAATAATATTTTTTCTTGCTGTTAAGAAATAGATGCCTGGGCATCTAATCAATAGTTATGGTCAAAATAACTCTGTCAATTTTTTGCTAATTTTAAAATGGCTTTTTAAGTATCCTATAATCTGTAATTGTAACTATACTTAGGAACTGCCACACTATATGTGCATCAAACAAATTAAACTTACTTCACTAATACCTCCAGCATATTCAGCAGGTAGTGTATTAACAACAAGATCAGTATCAGTAATCCTACCAGCAACAGAATACACAGCAGTAATGCCATCAACAGTAACAGTAGGATTAGTATCATGACAGTTTGATGGAGTAGGAATACTTGGAGGTGAACCAAGAGACTCATGGCTGGATGGTGATGAGCTATTTTGAGTCTGTCCCTAATAATCAGAATAATAATTACTAAAGCTACAATTTTGACTATTTTTTGGTCATTTTGCTATTATTTACTATTCACTATAATATGAATAACATTACAAAGTGCACAACATACAAAGTCAATTATGAGAATAGAATGTGATATCATAATTTATAGTGAAGGAGTGCAGGCCATGAATCTCATTATGGAGATAAGGACAATTATATAGTACACAATAAAAGCACAAAAATGCTGACATAGCAATTACACATTTCATACATAATAGTACATTTTAATTAAGTAGTGATACTTATTTCATTAAAGATTTGAGTCTCATAATGTCACCACAGCAACACAGTAAATGTAGAAAGTTACAGAGCAAAGCATCACTAAGCGGCAGTATTTTGGTAGTAAATAACATTAATACGGCTTCATTATAGTACAAATAATAGTAGCATATAGCATTACCTCTTGTGGAGATGTAGTAGTATCAAGGGAATTATTGTGTTGATCAGATCGCCCCTATAATAGACAATACAGTATTATGCTCACAATATGTACATAAAGCATTATTAAACATATTACATATTGCATCATTCAGTAATAACTTACATTCCTAATAGCCAGTAATTCATCAGTAGGAACATGATAAGGATCCACTATATTCCATTGTACTGGTCCAGTTGTTGGAACTTCAGATCCTTCATCTTTTAACACATCAATAGCAACTGGTACAATATATATCTCTTGATAATGACTCATCACTGCTTGTGGTTTATGACAGGCAGCAATTTCTATATAATAATAATAATGACATATGACATTTACAACAACGAGTCACTTACCTGCATTAAGTGTAACTTTGATCATTTGCCTCTTTTTCATCACAGCAACCACACACAAAGTGAACATTATTATTATTATCATCAACATCAGTACAAATAACACACTAGCAATGATATAGACCATTGAGCTACCAGCATTTCCTGAATATAAAACAATTTATTGTGAAATATGTTAGCATACATGTCATTCAATACCTGGTGCATTAGTTTTAGTTCCAATAATAACAGTTGATGATGATGGTGTAGTAACAGGAGTTGAACTACTGATGGTAGTAGAGGAAGAACTAGAGCTGAAAGTACTACCTCCTAATAATATTAATAATAATAATAACAAATAATTACTACAATGATAGTGCTATTACCGTTGGAGGAAGTAGCAGTAGTTATAATAGTCACATTAACTATTTTAGGTTGTACACAAGTCCATGGAGTAATACTGCCATCATCAATAATGTCGTATGCAACTACATGGTATACTCCACTGGTTGATAATGATGGTATTGCACTGCCTGATCCAGTTATATTAAAGTATTCCTTCCTTCCATTACTAATATCAGTAAATATCACATGACATCCATCAGCAGTTGATCCTGATACAAACACACACTGTACACTAACTGATCCATTCCCTTCAGTAGATACTAGCAGATCTTGTACAATAGATGATAATGTAGCTTAAGGTAAGATAAAAAGAAGTTAAAGTAATTAAAAATAAAAACTTACAGAATGGAACTTCCAAAGAATCTTTATCAGCCCTTATATAAGCAGTATAATTTGTACATGGTCTTAATCCGACCATTTTGTATAAAAATATTTCTTCTTTTTCATCTGCTTCAACTGTCTGAGTGTTGTCCTCCATACCAACAGGAAAGACTTCCCCAACTATCATATATGTACATGACCGATTACTGTGTATCTAATAAATAACATTGACAAATATAGTTATGGAAGTAATAATAAATCTTACCGAACTGTTGAGATTAGCAACAAATGTCTGGCTTGATACATCAAAAGTTATTATAACATTTTCATAAGTAATAGTATGATCTAACCAAAAAACAAAAATAATTTCATTTCTTTATTTCACATACCTGCAATGATGCTAAAATTATGTTCTCTCCCTTGTGATTCATATTGTCCAATAGATGCAGTAACACCGACAGTTGTAACATTAGTACAAGGTAATCCAGTAGTATTCAACCATACACTAGTATCAGTAGTATTAGTAATACTGATACCATTCACTAGTACATTATATGTAGGGACAGCTCCTAGTGGTATATCATCAGAATAGAAAGAAGGAGGAGACCATGACAATAACTGATCATCAATAGACCATTGTATGTCTTCAACTGGTGATACTCCTAATAATGAGAATAAATTAATAATATAATACTATAAATTAAAATGTATGTGTACTAACCTCTTATTGTTAGTGTACTACCAGTGTCAGAGAACACTTGTTCAAAAGGAGGATATGATATTATTTGACAACCAATTTGTAATCCATCATTAACAGGCAACCCAGTGATAGTAAGTACTGATGATAAGTTACCAGGACCACCACCAGGATCAGTAAAAGATATATCTCTTTGTTGTTTAACTGATTTTGTTACTGGAGTACTCCCTACTAGCCAATTCAGTTCATTCCCAGTTCCTTTACAAGTAAAACTTGCTGTCACATAAATAGGAACAGTAACAGAAGTAGGACCAACTGTTATATCTAGAAAGACAGACGGTCAGATAGAGGATGGTTAGAGTCCTATTACTTACTAGCACCATATACGTCTTTTAAAATGACTGTGACAAGAAGTAACCGTATGATATTCTTCATCAAAGCCGCCATCTTCTTCCGAGTCTTGTAGACCCAA